ATGGGGATGGGGTCGAACTGTTGAGTTTAGACCATTACAACTTGCAAGAGGGGCCCAAGGGCCAAGGGCATGGGGCCTTGCGAAGGGTTAAGACTGACGCACGGTGTTGGACCGATAAGTACTCACAATAATTCCCTGCCACCATGACAGTACGATCCTGCATGACAATGTTGGGACTACATTCCCAACATCCTCCCGGCCGGCAAAATCAACACAATCAATAGGTACCTAATAACAATGCGCGTAAATGGACTATACAAATTAGGTCAATATGGCATAATTACAGAGCGTAATTATACTATGTGATACAAAATATGAATATATACCTATATATATTTGCAAGATAAGTCAATTGTCTGTCGTTTATTTTTGCTTCATTTGAGCAATTATGGTTTCCAAATCTGGGTACGTTATGTTATGTCATGTGTACTTTGAATGTGCAAAAATGATAACTATCATATGAAAATTGTTACGTAGGTTATCATAGCATGAATCGCAATAGAGTATCAAGATTGCAGTTCTGCCACCACCCTTCATTGAATTATCCCGCCTTTTTTCTAAAATTCAATAATCTCTCTTCCAGCAAAGTTTGCGAAATTCATTAGCTGCATAAAATACTCTCAGCTGTGGTGTTTGGTTCCAGTTGACATGACATCCGTTTGCATGTTAACACGTTTCCTGCGACAGCTCTTTTGCTGCTATGCACGACACCTGCGATGTGACCCACCGGTGGGTCCCAGTCTTCTTTCCATTGTTGCGATGTGACCCACCGGTGGGTCCCAGTCTTCTTTCCATTGTTGCGATGTGACCCACCGGTGGGTCCCACTTTAATTTTTTCTTCCTTTTATAATTTGCAAAAAAATATAAGTCTATATTGACTACGCGTTATATATGTGTCCTAGTATTTCTATATAAAGGTTAAATTGAAGAAAGATATGTAAGAATGAAGGTTTATCGAACTTCTAATTCATGAAAATTTCATTTTATTCAAAATATGCAGAATAAAAATATAATTACATTTGTTAGTGAATAAATATTTTACTTTTCATGTTTCATATTGAAACATGGTGGGCAGAGATAAGGCAAACCATCACATGAGTCACAAAATGTAGAAACTTTTCAAGATTTGGTTTTAGCCGCTTTGGAACCTTTGTTTTCGGATATCCACTGCTGTAATTTTGAACTTCGTGTCAGACTAGTGGAACCAATTTTCTGCTCTGCATAACTATTTGTTTCTTGAACAACTAGGTTTAGAATTTCATCAGTCAGGAACTGTTTATATATATCAATTGGCCTAATTTGTTTATCTGTCGATGATGGTCTAGCTCTTACGCAAAGCTCCTCAGTCCCTGGAAAGACATGTTTTCGTACTTTTCTTGTCACTTTCATCCAATCATTTTCAGCTGGAATATCGTCTTCATTGTCTTGACTTTCGTTATCAACATTACTTTGATTTTCATCGATACTGTCTTCATACAATGAACTGCTTCCTGATTCTGAAAGCGCATATTCAAGATCGGAACTGTCATCATTGCACCCTGAAACGATATCTTCAGAACTAGAGCTAGCAGTAGTAGTAGATCTTTTTTGACCCTTATAGAAAGCAGAAACATTCATGGTCACACCTACAAAATATATCAATTAATTAAAACATTGAACAAACAACTTATGCATCGTGAATTCAACATATACAATTTTTTAACATGGGACCCACCGGTGGGTCCCATTGCATTACAAGAAAAACATTATCTTCAGATGTGATGGGACCCACCCGTGGGTCACTGTTTTTCTTACCTAATCAAGCTGTAACATATGAGAACAAAACTCTGACAACCTCACTCCCAGCTATCTCAGATGCAACTGAAGTTATCGTACATATACCACCGTCGCAACAGGAGAATAGCATCGATATTGGCCGTCGCCGTACACGTAACACAGTGGTGACCCACCGGTGGGTCACATCGCAGGAAACGTGTTAAATTAAATAGCAAGCACTTGTGTTAAATGTTAACAATTAGATTGGGGTTATTTCATCAAGCGGTAAACTTGCGGTTCCAAAAATGGCGAGAAAGCTCTAATCGCGCTGCTCTGAAGGCAACCTATATAAATAATAATATAATCCACGCCTACACTGGAGGAAGTTCAAACTTCAGAGGTGGAACTTAATGCAGTAAATTTGCTATAAGTCAGAAATACCAGAAAAATACCAGATTTAGGCATATATACCAGATCTAAAATATTCATATCAGACACCTTCTGAAAATGCCAGATTTGTGAAATCTGGTATAGAAATATACCATCTGGCAACGCTGGCTTCAGTGTTACTTGAATTCTACAGACGATGTTGCCATTCCATCCAGATGAAAGCTGTGTCTAAATCAGAGCTGTGTTGGACGGCTCTGCGGCCCACGCCGAGTCAACCGGGGCTACTCGGGACAGGCCTCCGACACGGCGTAAAACTGTTGTAGTAGCAAAACTAATTTGAATATTGCAAAACTAAAAATAGTGGCGTAAACGTCAACATTTTTCCTATCTATGTAGTATAAAGGAAGTTGAAAAATACTACATTTACTTGCTTTGAAAAATTCCTGAAAAAAATGGTGAAAAACTATATATTGTAAAGTTGCAACTGCTAAGGTATGTAGCAAAAATAATATTGGCCGTATTAAAAAATTTTACTTATGTAAAAGTTGCACCCAGGTGTTGGCTTGAAAATGTAATTGACAGAATTTGCCTATCTCATTCCAAGAAGAAATGGCAGCCATTTCCGCACGGCGGGGCTACTCGGGACACCCCCCCGGGGCTATTAGGGACACCCCCAAAAACGCATTTACGGTTGAACCTCAGTTAGCAAAGGCTCTAATTACAAAAAAAAAATTGATTAAAAACAAAGAATATTGATCACATTTTCCTTGCTCAGTGCCAAAAATTTCACTTATCGAAAAATTAGTCCATCATCCGTCATCACAAAATTGTGCATAGCATGTCATGTATAGAATTGTGCAACAGGCATCACAGAATGAAAAGTAATTGACCTAAACTATGATTTATTTCTCCAAAAGATACGTTGATTGTCACTGAAACATTCCTTTCTGTTTCAGGTATGTTTTTCACGATCTTTTTTACTATAGTAAATTCGCTTAGCCCAATCAAAATGATGTGAAAATGCGAGTCGTCCTGTAAGCTTACAGATACAAAAAAATGATTTAAGGCTGCTGATATGAAGCTTGCAGTGGACAAGGTTGTTGTAAATGCTCAATTGCACGTTCATGGATACGGCAATATTGCATCAATAATACGATAATTGCACATCAATAATACGGTAATTAATGTATATGGCAATATCATATCAATAAAGGAAAAACAAGTAAAAATCACAGAAAATGTCTTTTATTCTACCTCTACATCATCTACTATGAAAGAGGAGGACTTCAGAGTACTGTTAGTAATGGATGAGTATACTCTGGATGCTTCAAATATTTTAAAATGAAGTTTTATTCCAAGTGTCCGGAGTACCCCCGTTTGATAGGGCTACTCAGGACACTCTTTTTTTGCTTCTGGCACCTTATGAATAGCGTATGGAATTTTTTTGAAGATGCCATTCGATAGCCCTTGCAAAAAGCTATAAAATGAGCCTAAACTTGTTTATGAAATGTTTCATGGTAAGAAGTTATTAACAAAAAATGCTCAAAACCGTCCTGAGTAGCCCCGGTTGATGGTAGTTTGCTAAATGACCTACCTAATAATTATTGATCAAAATAGCTAAAATATTATTGATCCAATACTAAGAATAGATCTCAGTTGAAGAGTATCTGGTATCTTGAGTAGGTATCTTGAAGGCTGTGAGATTTGTGTTTTTTTTATGGTGGTTATTAGAAAAAAAGGGCAGTTTCCCGCAAACTTGTGGTGATTAGGGTTAAGAGGAGCTACAGCATTCAGCAATGAGCAATTCCAAATAAACTAATGTACATACTTTCTTTGCACCCTGTTTTTTTACACACTCTGCTCATAGTCTCAATCCTTAAATATACCTACTGTCAGCCTGACTAGCAAAATTCTTTGAATTCCCTAGTCCCTACTTAAATCAATATGTCCTAACTAAGCTAAACTTGTTCTCAGTGCAATCAGTAGAGTCATACAAAAAATGGGTGCCAATGCCTTTGTGGCATCTTCAGTAATGCTGGACTCTCCTAATTATTAAACTTCCATTTTAATTGCCCATTCTGTGTTTCCTATATGAGTGAGTAGATCCATTGAATATGTTCAGATGTCCACTTCTATACACTTTACATAATTATACCTCTTATGTTGCATATAAAAGTAATATTTACTTTGAGTTAATGTCAGAAATAAAAAATATATTTATACCAGGTCAGTTTAGGAATAAACACTATACATACCATACCAAGGCATGGCTAGAGATTTACAGCTATTTCTGAAGCCAGGAGCTTTCTACTAGATGCAAAATCTAATTCCAGACTAATTGTTTTTATTGGTCAATGATCAAGTCATAATGGTTAAAATTAAATGAAAATATCACTCTTTGAATTCACAAGATTTTGGTTTTGCACAATTGCAGGTTTTCTAACGTCTATCTTGTATGAGGATGACGTCTATCTTGTATCTGATTATTCTGATTTGCATATATGTCTCATGCAAAAGTTTTTCAAGTCCTTTAATTTTGTAAAAAGCTTATTGATGGTAATTTTTGTTGATTTCTTGTATTATCTAGGATAAATTAATTGGTCTCAATTCATCTCATTGATATTAACTTTATTCAACCATAAAATAATCTGCACTAACTAACCCTGCAGGAACTTACATGGTATGATCCTGGGCCTTGGTTTTAAGTTTGCTCATTGATATGCCAGATCAAAATTCTGTTTGCCTGAATATTATTCAAATTTGTTTAATGCATTGGCTATACATACATTACAAGGCAAAAGGCATTTTGCTTGGTTTGAATTTCCTCCCCTCAATGTGCCCAATTATTTCTCTTGGCAGAAGTTTATTTTTTCAGGTGAAAACATTTATTTCGATTTTATGGTATAAATTCTGATTGACCTGTAATTTTTTTACAAGTTTTTCTTTGGAGGATTATTGTGAACACCAGCAATGGCATCACAAGAAGTAATTGTTGATGCATTGCCATACATTGACACAGGATATGATGAGCCTGGTGTGAGAGAAGCAGTAAGTACTAATTTCAATGCTGCTTTAATGTTTTAATTGACCGTTTTATTGTTATTTTTGTCAATCATGTTTTCCATACACAGTTAAATCAGTATAATAAATAATGGCTTGATGTGATCAGGCTCCAATTCATTTCAGTTCTTCAATTGCAACAATATACAATTTTTCATTTAATAAGTTTTTCAAGGTATCTAAATTACTTGATTTGTCATTCATAGTTTCAAATGGACACAATACCATTCTTATTACCTATTTTGAACTGCATTGCCCAGTATATACCTATTTTAGTGCTAAAGAGAATGGAAGACAGTCTTCTGCTATTAGAGATACTTTGGAAATATCCTAATATCCTCTGCATAGAGTTATGGCACAGGAAAATCAAATTGATTCTGAAAGGTTAACTTATTACTTTGTCATTTTTTTCAGGCAATTGCAATGGTTGAAGATGAAAAGAAAAGATATCGTCCCACCAAAAATTATCTTGAGCATCTACCTCCTCTAAATTTGTCAGCATTTGAGGTAAGTCAGTGCATGATTCCACCAATAATGATTGCTTCTGCTGGTTAATCATCTAACAATTCATTTATTTTTTCCTGAGAATATTTTGATTTCAAATTTTTAATGGGTATAAATGACTGGCATGTTTCTCTTTTGGAGATGACCAGACACATTCAATAGAAGTATCTGAAAAGTGACAATTTCACTTTTGAATTTGCTAAGTATTTGTTGAGATTTATTAGGCTTGCTCTTACATGGCAGACAGAAATCATGCGCAATGAGTTTGAGCGTTTATCAGTCAGGCAACCCATGGACACGTTGAGCATGAAACGATACGAGCTACCACCTCCACCACCAGGCAAAATGACTGATGTGTCCGCATGGAGTGAGTGTGTTGACAACTCATTTGCTCAGCTTGAACATCAAGCAACCAGGTGCTTAGTTACTTCTTTATTATAAGGCATTCCAACTATAGGTTGGTATCCTCTCAGTAGTGCTTAACATTTGAAAACTGAAAAAAAGTTAAGGTGTGGCCTATTGCTTCTATACTATGCACAATAAGCCTCCCCATGTAGTATATATGTGTATATGAAAGAAGTCAATGATAATCTCAAATGAATTAAGAACGGTATATACATCACCAACAATAACTATACCTCAGTTTCCTTCTATGCATATTAAAGTAATTTACTTAAGTATCCTGCTAATAAAGCAACATTTTTTACAATGCAGGAAAATTTTAGTGATATACTTGCTGAAAAGAACTGACTGTCTGTGTATCTATGAAGTACTGGAGCCTTAGCGGCAACCAAATGCAGTGCTCAAGTTCTTCCTTGGATGACGTCTTGCTTATGCTTGGTATTTATTGCTTAAGAAAGAAGATTGCCATCCTTAAGTTAAAACTGTCATGTTATAAACCTAAATCTTGAATTGATTACATGGCAGGTTGATGAATTTGGAACTCCTGGGCGAGAATGGCAGTGAGGCTTGGAAAAGCCACAATGAGGAGTTGCAGCGCATGCTATCCCGGACCCAGGCGCAGCTAGCAGACCTCAAGTCAGTCTTTGTTCCATAACTAGGCCTATTTTAAGGAGGCTTCAGCCCCTGTAAGATTTTCTTTAGTGCTTAATGATTTTCTATTTATCTAGTAATATTATCATTTTTTGCAAAGAAATAATGTGGCTTGAATACAAGTTTAAAAAAATAATAACCAGTTAACAACCAGTTATTATTAACTTGAATATGATCTTGAGTCTTAGGGGGCTTAGCTCCTCTGTCCTTGAAACCTAGTGACATCCTTGATTGCCCATCAATTTCATCAGCATGTATAACTATTTATTATTCAATACTCAAATATTTTAATGCATTTCCCGCATTATGACTTTGAGCATTTCACTCTTTCCTCTGGCTAAAAAAAATTTTTTCAAAAAATTTTTTAAAGATGCCATAGAAATTATTGTACTCATTTTCATATCTTTCAAATTTATTAATGCTAAAAATTTTCACTTGTCGTAATTGAGTTTTTGAATGAACTTTTTTAAATAAGTGCATATTTATTTTTCAATTAACGAATTATCGTTTATCCATATAAGCTCTATTTTAAACTATGTTCTGGAAGCATTAATAGAAGCTCAAAGAATGCATTGTGTTGCAGGAAGGCTGTGCAGGAGGTGAACTGAACACGCAAGAGCCTATTAATAGAAGCTCAGCAATAAGAATGCGTTATGTTGCAGGAAGGCTGTGCAGGAGGTGAACTGGGCACGCAAGAGTCTGCAGTGCAAAGCAGGGGAGGAGCTGCGGCACCTGGAGAGCACCTGGGTGTCACTGGTGTCTCGCAACTACGACATCGAGCAAGCCTGCGTCAACCTACAGCAACAGTTGCAGCGCTACTCAGAGCTGCTTGAGGCCAAGCGGGACAATCACGATAACAATAATGCTTCTGATCAAGAAATGTAATAAAGTACCTATCAAATTTTATAATAAATGTTAGGAGTAAATGTGTTTTTAATTTTTCTAGAACGGGCAATTACGACTTTGGTCGGCCTCCAGCAACAGGTCCAGCACCATACAAAGCTGTGTGATGCCAAGCAGGCTACACCGATAATAATAGAGTTACTGATCAATGAATACGCTGGCATTTGTTTTTAATTACTCTTGAATAACGAGAATTTCTCCGCCTCGTCTTCTATTTGACATAAGCCGTCTGACTATTCCTCTTATTCTTCCCCTGTTCCCATTCTCATTCTTGTTTAGACCTATGCAGTCTAGCCATATTCTCATTCGTCCTAAGACCTGCGTGGTAGACTCATCTCTTATCCGCTTAAGTTGTTAGAGAGACCACTTTTTCTTATGACTAAACAATGTGTCACCTGCGGCGCACATGACAAACAGCGAACACCTAATCTTGTATTAACGGTGCGCATTTCCTAACGTACGTCATCCAACGAGGAGTTTTGTGAACGGAGATTTCAGACCTGTAAGGAGATTTATTATTGAATTCTTCAGATTTCACACGTTCATCGGAAAAGCTTTAGGCTGCACGAAGTCGAGGCCGAGAATAGATTTAGGACCAATTGTGTCTTTTAAAACTAATTTCGAAATGCAAGATCTACGAATATATTGTGATACAAGTCAATGTGCTCGCTGCTAGCCGCACATTCGCAAGCAGTTTGCTGAGCTCACAAGCTGTCCGCTTTGAACTCGCAGGCAGACTATTCGAGCTCGCAAGCAGTCTCTTCGATCTCACTAGCAGTCTCTTCGAGCTCACTAGCAGTCTCTTCGAGCTCACTAGCAGTCTCTTCGAGCTCACTAGCAGTCTCTTCGAGCTCACTAGCAGTTTCTTCGCGCTCACTAGCAGTTTCTTCGCGCTCACTAGCAGTCTCTTCGAGCTCACTAGCAGTCTGTTTGAGCTCGCAAGCTACCTGTTAGAATTCGCATGCAGTCTGCTTGAGCTCACAAGCAGTCTGCTCGAATTTACAAGTGCTGTCTGCTCGAGCTCGTAAGTTGTCTGTTTGCAACAAGTATGCTGCCGTCGCCGCGTCTCGCGGTTTATCGATCGTCTGCCACGCAAGAACCGCTGCTCCGCTCTGCCTAACCTCAGTCTGCATCTGCAATGCCGAGAGCGAATTTGTCTCGCCAGCAACTCATAGGCCATTTCCATACTATTGCTCTTCTTGTATATCTCGTCTCGGTATTCTGACCTGTATTTCTTCCGATCAATTTTGCATAGTTACTTCGCCGCGTTTAACAATATTTTCGATCCACGGATTATCTTATTTTTTGACCAAAAGGTGCCACTGTCTCGTAGTGTGAATGCAGTGTTCCTAGGAAAAAAATTTTAACTTCTAAGAACTAGCATCAAAATTTATATCTCCCATATAGATAGTGAATGTTGCAGCAGAGGATTTAAATACTATGAGGCTGTGCTCTCATCAGATTAGCTTTGCAAAATTCAACATTAACACCAAGTTGAGTTGTGCAGCATGTTTATGTTGTGGTCTACACGCGTCAAATCATTATTTTTAGCGCATTTTTTCATTTATGAAAAAAATGCACTATTATGCTCGCCATGTCCGTCTGTCCGTCCGTGACTTCATGTTTTCGTCGACGAGAAAATGCTCTCCCTCTCACTCACTGCAGTGAGTACTGAGTTATATTTTTTGGTACTTGTATTAGTATCTATGCAAATTCACCCAATTCATTCGTGATGCAGTTTATGAATACAAATCTAGCAAATGCATTGGTTATCACTATGGGAATCAAATGCATTGACTTAGATGCAAATGATAAGTGCATTCACATTCACCATGTGGGTTAGGGCTTAGGTAGTGTAGCCGAGTGGTTAAGATCGTCGTGACTGGAGCAGCGAGTTTTGGGTAAGAGACTCCCAGGCAGTTGTTGAACTTCTGGTCAAAATTGACGATATTTCCGGGTGGTTTAAGCGAAGGAAGATTGCAGCAGTTAATAGCGTTTTCGAAACCCGCAGCTGGCTGTGAATGTTTCTGTGATGGCGACACCGCTGTATCAATGGTCGGTCGTGTGTCATGATAAATTTTAGGTTAAATAAAAAGTCTGTGCATGTTCTGAGAATATGTTACTTCATTTGTTTAATCTGCACTATTATAACTTCAAAATAAATAAATTCATAGTTCTCATCAAATTGAATTTATTTTAGCCAGCTAGCTATAATAGGTTGAATAAATTACATGCAACTCAATGTGCAACCTGACTTCAATACACTCGCACTTGTTATGTGTGATCCATGGAGGAAAACCTACCTAATGTTAGTTATGTACAAAAGCTGGGCTGCACAACATGCATATGAAACGAGTCTGCGAATAACAATTTTGAAATACTTGTACATGCCGCTCGTTATTTTGTTCTACGCCGAGCATTTAGGACCAGCTCCTGATGACTGCTGGTGGTCTAATTAGTACATTCATAGTATAGTATAGTATAGCGGTGTCAACGTGGATTAGGCCACTAGACCTGTCACTGATTCTTAACATCGACGAATTTTTACAGCTTGTTTCTTGTTGTTTCACTCACTGCTCCAATTTTGTTGTGCTTAACCACCCGGCCACATTGCCGATTTTGACCACAACTGACGCAGGTGGCTCAGATCGAACGCACAACTCACTGCTCCAATCTTGATTCTGTGAACAGTAACCACTGGGCCACCCTACATTTAGGATCAGTTCCTAACGACGCGTGGTCTCCTTGGCGTGGTCTCCTAGCTAGCGTGATCTCCTACCTAGCGTGGTCTCCTACCTAGCGTGGTCTCCTACCTAGCGTGGTCTCCTACCTAGCGTGGTCTCCTACCTAGCGTGGTCTCCTACCTAGCGTGGTCTCCTACCTAGCGTGGTCTCCTACCTAGCGTGGTCTCCCACCTAGCGTGGTCTCCCACCTAGCGTGGTCTCCTACCTAGCTTGGTCAACCAATTTTGCGTGGTTAGCGCAGCTTCCTGTAATTCACATAGAGCACTGAAAGTCCTTCGAGTGCTGCAATATCTTTCCGACCGGCAATGACATTCCCTAGTCTGATCCATGGTAACGTTCAGATAAAATTTTTACTTGTGTGAGTGTGTCGTGTGCGATATCTACCACAGTCTGTGCCGTCGAGAGGCGTCGTGTACAAGTTTGCAGGACTACTATAATTTTTTTAAATAAATTTTTGCCGGGCCTGATGACACGTCTTCTTTGCAGGAACTAAAACAACGAATGAGCTGCCTTTCATGGCAGTTCCGATTAAAATTATTTAATTAACGATTAGTGGTTCCAAATCACTTTTATTTCATGTTGCTTGTCATTCAAACGCCAAAGTTGAATAACAACGGATAAAGCAGTGCTCTGTGTGTGATTGGTAAACAAAGAGCCCTGCATGTTGACTACAAAAAGCCATGGGCTATGCGCGGGCTATGTTAAGTACAAAAGTGCACGAGCTATGTCAAATACGTTGACTTGTTGAGCATTCTAACTGAGCCTCGCCATGAAGAAGCAGAACGTGCGAACTCTGTCCTTAATCGTGGGCACATTCACGTATCTGCTGGTGGGGGCGGCGGTGTTCGACCGCCTCGAGTCCTTGACTGCGGAGCACAAAGCGTCTATCCTCAGCAGTGAGTGTTGGCTTAACGCAAACTTGCGCATAACGCAATTCCAATAACTTGTACTGGAACTTTGATACTCCAACATAAATGTTTATCGTAAGTTCGCACCTACGGGAATTAATTAATCACAGGCTTTGGCAGTTTGGAACAGCAGAAATTCGGGTTTTTCTTTGTATCAGACGCTCCAAGTTTTTTAAAGGTTCGCACATTAACGTCGAGATGTACCAGTAATGATTCGCTTTTTTTTTTTTTTTTTGAGGGGGAGGAGGGATCGGACCCAGCCATCGTAGTACACTCCATCCACGGTATATGAATAAATTACAGTTCGATACTATTACGAATCAGCGTGCAGGACCTAGACGTTTCAAAACCTTGTTAAATAATGCGTACTTCTATTTTTCTTATACTCCATACCTAATAAATATTTAAAGCTCAAATATTTAGACAACACTGCACCCCAACTCATTGCAGAAAACCTAATTATCACATAACAATTCAAAATTATAAAAATGTTCTTTGCATCTAAGCTGTGATGTGATTCAGTGCTCATTCATTTCAGTGTTCATTTTATTAGACTATAATAGGCGTTGTGATCGTTACATTACATTATGTTTGGAGTTTGAAAAAGTGCCTCACTGTCCTTGGATATTCTTTGAAATGTTTGATGCCTGATGACGATAGTGTATTTGGTTTGAAAAAGTTGTTCCAACCGACTAAGCCTAACATTATTTGCTGCAACTGCAGAATTTAGCTCTTAATTACAGAAGTGAAAACGCATCATATCATACTGTTGACATATGAATTTATTTATTACAATTTCATAGGAGATGTAATACCTTTAAATTTTTTAAAATTGTGAACATAATTTAACAATGTGGCATTCTAAAATAATTTCAAAGTGTCTTCTTAAGCTTATATAATATTTTAATGTGACAAGGAAGATGGAAGTGTAAATTAGGAAGTATACGAGACGTTTGTGACCTGAAGTACAAATTGTGAAGTGATAACCTTCATAACAATATTATTTCAGAAATAGAGAAGCAATGGATGGCCAAGCACGGGGTGAGCTCGGAGGACTACCGCATCATGGAGGTGATCGTCCTGGGCGGCGTGCCTCGTAAGGCTGGCAAGCAATGGAAGTTTGCTGGCGCGCTGTACTACGCCACCACCGTCCTCACTACCATAGGTCTCAATAATAATAATGATAATAATAATAATAATAATAATAATATTAGCCAGATGAATATTTTCAGGGAGTCTTGTCTTATACTAATTGCCTAACGTTGAATATTAATTGCAACTTACTATTCTACAAACATGTACCTTAAAGCTCTGTATGGACTCTTCAATTGTGAAATTACATAACAATCAACACGGTGTAGCGTTATGACTCATAATTCAACAGCATGGAGTTAATTATCATCCCGTTGAACAGGTTACGGGCACTCAACCCCCAACACAATCCAGGGGAAAATTTTCACCGTCATCTACGCTGTTGTGGGCATACCGCTCTGCCTCGTACTTTTCCATTCAATTGGTGAACGACTCAACAAAGTATTTTCCATGATCATCCGTGGCATCAAGAAAATTCTTAAAGTAAGTAAATAAATATATCCATTTTCCCAGTGTACTAATTTTTGCAAATTTCAGGGAAGTATTATATTTCTATTGAAAATGTCACAGTTATAAATAAATAAAATTAATTATTGCTCATCTCTCAAGTTGTTCATCATAAAAGTTGTTCATCATCTCAAAAAGTTGTTCATCATATTTTAACCAGTAAGTCACCCGAAGCTTTTTCAAACTGAACTAACCAACCAAACCCCAACCAAACGATCTTCATAAAACTTACGACGATAACTAAAAAGATTGCCGTGTCTTGGAATAATTTGAGCTGCAAGTGCCAAGGCCATACGTACGATTTTCATGCAACTCTCGATTGTGACCATAGATCAAATATTATAGTTATAGAACGAGTTTAATAATTATGTATGTACTAATTATGTACATACATAATTATTATGTATTAATGTGTATAATAATTATGTATTAATGTGTACGGCATTCAGCTGAAGTCAGTGGATGTGACTGATGTCGACCTCATCCTGGCGGTGACGACGTGCTCGACCATCACCATCACCGCCGGCGCCGCCGTCTTCTCCAGCATCGAACAGTGGACCTACTTTGACTCCGTCTACTACTGCGTCATCACCCTCTTCACCATAGGTACTGCGTCATCACCCTCTTCACCATAGGTACTGCGTCATCACCCTCTTCACCATAGGTACTGCGCCATCACCCTCTTCACCATAGGTACTGCGTCATCACCCTCTTCACCATAGGTACTGCGTCATCGCCCTCTTCAATATAGGCACTGCGTCAGCACCCTCTTCACGATAGGTACTGCGTCGTCACCACCACATAGGTATTACGTCAGCACCCTCTTCACGATAGGTACTGCGTCATCACCCTCTTCGCCATAGGTACTGCGTCATCACCACCATATGATATGAGGCCTTTTCAAGCGTGCTTCTGCCTAACAAGTTCAGCAAAATTAACTTCACTTTTATGAATGAAATTCAAACTTAATATTTTATAAGCCAATCAATATCTGCTCAATAAATCTTGTGGAAAAAAATCAACTGCTACTCGATGTGTTCTTTTGATCTAGAAGCTGTAGTCAGATCTAACTGTTAATCCAGAATTAAGAAAATTTCTGAAATATTGTCCAGTAAAATTCCGTGATTGGAGAAACATTTTAACGTTTGATGAATTGGTGCAGGTTTTGGGGACATGGTGGCACTTCAGAAGGACAAAGCGTTAGAGAATCCAGGATACGTGGCCTTGTGGCTGGTATTTATTTTGTTCGGCATGGCGATCGTGGCCGCTTGTCTCAACCTCTTCGTGCTCAGACTCGTTACGATGAACACCGAAGACGAGCGGCGAGACGAAGCTGAAGCCCTTCAGGTGGGTGGACTGCTATCTAGGCTGAAGCTCTTCAATTATTTTTCATTTAATTATTTGACTCGTTTTCTCAGTTTTGTCAAAAGTCGTAAAAGCGCAAAATTGCCCAACGCCAACACTTCTTATTCCTTTCTGTGGGGAAGCGCGCTAAAGAGCAACGTAGCCTATAAAGCTGATTGGTTAAAGCAATATCGCTCCCACAGCCTTGTAATTTTGTTGAAGCTTTACTTTCACAGCGAAATCCATTTAATTAGCAAAATTCAAGTTCAAAAATAAGTATCACAATATACTTGTTCTTGCCCTCAGGCGGCTGCGGGAGCTGTACACCTGGAAGGCGATGTGATTACGGCGAACGGCTCGATCCTGTCGATAGGCGACCCAGACACGCGCTCCCTGGGCAAGGCAGACCTCGGCTCTACCACAGACATGGACTCTGTCTGCTCGTGTAACTGTGTGCAGTGTTCTCTATACGCCCTGGGATTCAGCAGGGGCAGATTCAAATATCCTCTATAGGCAAATTGTGTAGTGTTCGCAACATTCTTTAGACCTCAGTAAAACCAGATACAAATATGACTTATGACTAAATGGGAACATTGTACATTCTTAGGGCTTCAGAAAAGGCATATACAACTATCTTCGACATAATGGTTCCCACACCGGGATATTATCGTCGAGGGAATTTATCAATTTGTATCACTAACTTCTTGAGTCTTAATAAAACTATTATCCGAACTTTTCATTACGAAACTTCAATCACGCTTTATAATTTCCTTCTTACAGTGGCCTAGTTGTTGTTGTTGTTTGTTGCGCCGACGGTCACGTTGCGGGCGGCTCATCTGGTGGGCGAGAGGAGGCAACAGGAAGAGGAGGGGGTTTAGAGACGGAGGCTGAAGAGGAGTGGGGTTTTAGAGACGGAAGCGGAAGAGGAGGGGGTTTTAGAGACGGAGGCGGAGGGGGTTTTAGAGACGGAGGCGGAAAAGGAGGGGGTTTTAGAGGCGAAAGAGGAGGTGGATTTAGAGACGGAGGCGGAAGAGGAGGGAGTTTTAGAGACGGAGACGGAAGAGGAGGGGGCTCGGAGGCGGAAGAGGATGGGGATTTAGAGACGGAGGCGGAAGAGGAGGGGGATTTAGATAAGGAGGCGGAAGAGGAGGGGGATTCAGAGACGGAGGCGGAAGAGGAGAGGGTTTTAGAGACGGAGGCAGAAAATGCCCCAACGGAGCTACTCCACAGCGGGGAAATCTTCAGGGTCATGAGACAAGAGGTATGTATATGAGATGCAACAGCGATGACTGCAAGTCTCTACTCGCTGGGCAGGCGACGTTTGGTGTGCGCCCAACCCAAAACTTGCCAGTTTCTAGGAAACTCAAGTTCGCTCGGTCTGATGGGAGCAGGAAATCACGATGCCGTTTGGAAGGTGCTAACAAATTAGAGTAAATCTGAGGACCTACGATTAAAAATAATTAGATGTTAGTGAATCCGTCTGCCAATCGCTGACGATTTTCAAGCTAAACACACCAATCATTGACAGAAGATCCGCCGATACGTGTACTTGGGCGAGTTTTGATAGTGCGGCATCTGGAACTGTGCAGTGAAATGGGAGGATGCAGAAGGAAAAGGGAAACTTGGAAAGGGGCGGAAGAAAGACAGAGAGAGAGCGATGGGCAACGCATGCGCTAAAATTGCCTACCGGCAGTCCATGCATGACCAGTGGGTGGGCGACTAACGGGACAACCTGAATACTTCTCGTAGGACCAGGCGTTGCCCTGGTAATATAGGAAGAGATACAGCGTCACAGCACACGGGAGCAAACCACGCCAGGGTGTGGGATTAAATTTATGTGAGGCACATGGGAAAGCAGATGGATGACGAAAATAAGCAAGAAAAGCGGGGAGGGAAGGCAAAGATGTGTTTTATAGGAATGGCTAAAGGGGGCAGAGACTCGTAGTGAACCTAGTGAGCGTCACTGTGGCGCTGTAGTTAGCTCCGCTGTATGCGTATTGATAGCGGCACTGAGATGAAAGGAGCTAGCCGTGGGTTCGAATCTTGGGAAGTTCATTTCGTTTCTCGTTGACACCAGGGGGTGGCGCTTGGTAGCCGTCGAGGGTGGTGCTTCGAGAATAGCCTATGGTTGGTATCCCCAAAATAACTCCGGTTAATTGTTACCTGGGGGATCTTGAGCTCTTAAGCCAATGTTCCTCTAATAGTGGTGGTAAAAGTTTTGAGCCCTCCGCTGGCAAGGCTCAAATGGAATAAATCCAAAAATTAATACTAAATCCTCCAAATAGATACTAGAGGTTCTTTTGGCTTGATAGTAACGACAGCCAGAATGCCAGCAGGGCGAGCCAGGGTACCCCCACGACAGAAGGAGCCCCTAAACAATCAGTTTTGATCAAGCAGCTTGATCAAAAGCTTGAGTCAATCGATTGTCTCAAGCGTGATTGACCGAACATAAACCCGTTTGACGCTTGAAGGCTTGACGGTGAGAAAATTTGATTAGAGGAGAATGGAAAGACGTAACGTTTTAGAGGAGGAAGGCCAAATCCCTCCGTAACTCGGTAACTCTCATTTCTCTACTTGTATTTATAAAGAATGCGCCCTCAACAGCGGTCTATTTCGACCTTGTGATACAATACAGGCCCATTGGAAAATTGTCGGTCAAAATGAGCGTCAAAACGGAATATTCTTGAATGATCGAACACTCATTACCAGATTGAAGAATATTTAAATCGATAATTGAACAGTTGGTTATTAAATTGAACAATAATCGTATTAAATTAGTAGAAAGTCAGGATAATAGGAATTGGAATAATGCTGATAGTGACAATTTCAGAACTCAGCAGCTCAAAAACCACTAGCGAGCAAACAACAAGTGTGAACTAATTCCATTTTTGATCAGAGGGAGATTTTGATAAAAAAATTAAGACCTCATTAAAGTTTATTGAATCGCGCGTTAATCGATTAACTCAAACGTTTGATGAAGCCGCTTGATCATTCAACACGTTGACTTCGATTGCTTCATCTTGTACAATAATTCATTTTTTTGCACTATTATGAAATACACAAACTGAGGATTTATATCCTAAGCATTCTTCTACCGGATTAATATGTATAACGAGTTAATAAATCCGAACTAAAACGGTAAAATCTATTAAAAAAAACGTGTCGAAATAATTGAAACAGGACATAATTGTGCCACTACGTCTTGGAGAAATACACCTCATGGTACGCATATGTACCACTTGACTCAACCTGTTGAAGGCTTCAATAGACGAGGGATCTTAGCACTGATTGACTGGACCATACAAAGTAGTCCACCAAACAATCCCCTTTGAGGCAGTGGCGGCGAGTACAATGGCGCAAGAAGCCGGAGTCACGAGATGAGGTGTAAACAAAACACTTGTAGCGGCACCTAAACTTTACTGTTGACAAGCGTCAGTTGAAGACAGGCGCGACTACACTGCAACTATCAAGCATGTTAAATGTTTTTAACTCATAAGGTAAACCAAATAGTAGGTGATTTATAAAACCATTTCATGTTGATATAATGAAGATATAATATTTTTCTCTATATATTAAATAAATATGCAAGTATAAGTCAAATTAAAACAAATAACGGATCAAAATAAGCTCTAGCCCGTCGTTGAAAAATACAATGAATAAGGCATCAACATAAATATGTTGATGCCTTATATTGCTAGACTTCGGCATCAACATAAATAATATGTGGATATATACATTTTATAAAACTTATTTCTTTAAAGAAATAAATGACGATAAGAGTTAAAATCTCTGTGGTATTCCGTTGGTGAAGGCGGCATGAAACGTGAACCATTGTCGTGAAGGTGGCATGGAAACCCGGATTGATGTTTTAACCTGATATGCATCGGGTCAGACTGAGACGGGCCAGAGCGACGCGGGTCAGAGCGAGGCGGGTCAGAGCGAGGCGGGTCAGAGCGAGGCGGGTCAGAGCGAGGCGGGTCAGTGTAGGCGGGTCAGTGTAGGCGGGTCAGTGTAGGCGGGTCAGTGTAGGCGGGTCAGCATAGGCGGGTCGGAGCGAGGCGGGTCGGAGCGAGGCGGGTCGGAGCGAGGCGGGTCAGAGCGACGTGGGTCAGAGCAAAGTGGGTCAGGGCAGGCGGGTCAGAGCGACATGGGCCAGGGCAGGCGGGTCAGAGATCAGTTCCAGAAGCCGCCTACGGCGATGGCCAGGTTGTCAGTCTGCTCGCCAGGGATGTACTCGAGACGCCAGAGCCTGCTGGTCACCACCACTGCAAACCAAGCATCTCTGTCAGTGCGCAAGTAAACTATCAGTCACATCGCTAAAATAGAAAACTCACGGTAATCTTTTTACTGTAAGTTCTCAGCTCAGGACAAAGCTGGTGCTGGCACACACAGTACGTTCAGCAAGCAGCTGACACTTGGCTTAAGCACACCAAGCCTCACACACATTGCACTTGTATACGTGGACACATTGCATATCAGCTCAGGACACAGCTGACACTCACACACGTGGCCCTCCATGAGGGCTGTCGTCAGCTCAGGACACAGCTGACACTCACACACGTGGCCCTCCATGAGGGCTGTCGTCAGCTCAGGACACAGCTCATTGCAGGGGAGCTGAGGCGAAACGCGGACATGCAGCCACCCGCGCAGCACTGCCAGCCACAGCACTTCTGACTGGAACCGTACCTACGCACCAAATAGAGCCATGCAAGCCACGTTTTTTTAACATTGAGGTCGTGACCTCTGTAGTAGTTAAATTATCTATACAAGAATCTTTATTCTCGAGGCTGAATATAAGATGCAAGTAGTGAGAATTGTTTGTGATGTGTTAGAGCTCTGCAGCGGAAGATAGCGGCCAAGAGTGGGAGTGTTGCAGTTTCAAAACATCGACAAAACCAAGCACAATTTAAAGATGAAAGTTGAAATCAACTTCAGCAATATAATACATTATTAAACATTAAAATTCTTGAGATTTGCAAAATGACTGATTATGCCAGTATATGTTGTCAATTCTTTGACACGAACATGTTAATTCTATAAATCCATGCATTGCCTAAAACTATACTCATTATTATCCTTCAGTTATAACTGATGAGCATTTACTTCCACAAAAATAATCCGTTCAATCAAATAATCAATTTTAAAGGTGAGAATGAGTAGTATGCTTACTAGAGAGTTAGTAAGCTTAGTAGCTCACCTCCTTGTAAACCTTGGCCCTGTAGTCTGAAGACATGAGCACCCAATTGGCGTCAGAGAAGTCGACCATGTCAGGCATGAAGTACGGCCGCTGGTAGAGGTTACGCAGGGCCTTGGCTGCCTTACGATCACAGTTTTCCCTGATCATCACAAGGCAACACTCACTCAATGTGTGATGATGTACTGACAAGGGTAAGCGAACAGGCGAACTAAACAAACGTTCAGAAGCAAAAGTATATTCAAAGCTAAAGTTGGTGCATTAGGCTGCAGCTATGTTGGTAATGTTCTCACACATAGCATGAGAGGGTATGAAGAAAGTGGACCAATGGTGAAAACAGAACATTAGTCACAGAGATAATGAATTTCAAGATTAAATAAGACAGATAAGAAGTTTTAAATTTGCATATTGAGTTAGATTAGGAATAAAACTGATAGATGCAAGCCAAATTTCAAAAAGTTGTGTGTTTACTGTTAGTTCCTGTTGCGCCAAGATGACACTAAAATTTCATCATGGCCAGCACAGAGGGGCATACACCAACCACTTTGGAAAATAACACATAATTTTCTTACTGCCAAAAGTTGAATAATGAAGAGCAAAAAATACCCATCAATCATACAAAATAGAACCCGAACAAAAAAAAAACAAAAAAGCCGCAAGATGTACTCACCCACATTACATAATATCCTTTTTGGCAATATAGTAAAGCAAAACACTCACCAATGGCCATACCAGGAGTCGGAGAGGTGGATACGCTGCAGGAAGCTCTGCAGGTCGCCAGCAGGTGCCCGCAGGTTCGTACTCAACTCGCAGGGCAGTAGGTGTTGCAGCGGCTCCGACCTGTACAGCTGCACACAATCAATAACATTAGCTAGGTCTACAAGATTATATTAATCTGTACTTTTTGGGGATGTTAATATCAAGAGGTTTTGTAATGCACGTTGATTATTCTCCAGATGTGCTCTTCTAAGGTCATTGTGCAATTGCATTTAGAGAAGGTGAACATGAGACTTGTCAGCTGGGAGAAATATGATAGAAGATTCAAACATAAACACAGATATTCATCAACATGCGTCTGGAAAAATTGAGTTATGAGCCTGGCCAATACAAACATGCAATATGGGTTAATGTGACACACCTCCATGATGTTGTAACATACCTCCGTGATGTTGTCGAACCAGAAGTCGTCGGTGTTCATGACGTGCCAGTCTGTCATGGCGTCCGTGACAACGAAGGGACGATCGTCTCGCAGGAACTCGTCCGTCGCCACATTCACCGGCACGTTCGACAGCATCGCAAGGGCTTCCTCACTCTCACAAACCTGGCCGCATACAAACTCAATAGGTGCGTGCATACAGCCCGAATGAATGCCTGCATATAAACTGAATATTTGCATGCATACAAACTGAATGTATGCTGCATTCATAAAAACAATTTATGCATGTCTACGAACTGAACAAGCTCCTGACCAAGAGCCAGCACCTGAGTTGTGTCACTGCACATTGCAAACAAACGCCCTGAACGCAGCACCCGAGTCAGTAAATAAAAGACCTACACTACAATCAGCGAGGGTGAGGGCGGGGCGGGTGTAGAATGGATTGCTGATGAGGCATTCAGCGAAGTAGAGGCGTGACCAGTCCCAGTAGGGCAACACCTGATAACAACCATATAGTGAGATTACATACAGAAATTAATTATGAAAATATATATAGAATAACAAACTTGAACTGTTTTTACCACATAGAAATAAAATAAAACAGATATTTTTGATTATCTAGATCAATGGAATAGTTATGGTAATATTAGGAATATTAAGTTAATTGCTCAAATAGCATGCATTGTGCTGAGCACTTGATTTCTTCATCAAGTAAAATATTTATAACTTATTACTAATGATGCTACATTACTGTAAGTCTAACTAGCAATCAATAATCCACCTTTAAATCATAATGGCCAAGCAAATTGTGCTTTACTGGGACTTTAATAACCGTAATCAACATAGGAAGCTTTCAATTAAAAACATGCAAATTTACCATGAATCATTTGCCATAACTGAAATCTCTAATGAAGATTGTAAATTAGGAATTATCACAGCCTCATTAACCTATTATTGCTCAAAATTTATTAATTGTTTGAATAATATTATTCAAACTTGGAATATTTTTTTAAGCTGCAAATGATGAATTAGAGATGCATTAGCTTAGGGGACATCAGTAACTAATTTTTATTCCAAATTAATTTTCATTCTACAAAATTGCATGTAAGGCTCAGACCAAAAAAATCATGGATTGGTCATTGGGAAATTGGATTCCATGCATAAAAATTTTTTGAGTTTACCAGGTAAGCAAAGGTGAACAAATGACGCCATACTGACCAGCATCTGGATGTGTCGCACTGCCACCAGCATCAGCTTGGAGGGCAGAGGTGCCTGTGGCAACAGAGTGGTTCATGGTGATCATTCCTAAGCAGACAAAGCATATCAACAACTGTATTAATAAGGCTGATGATTGTGGTCCATACAAATTACTGAGCATCAGATTCCAGTATCTTATTATCAAGTAAATGAGTATCTTTTTCCCTAGTTGATTTCCCCAAAGTTTACATAAGCTCACTGCCTTAATACTAAATGAAAACAAGAATTGCCTCCTACTAAAATATTCAACAATATATTAATCAAGTTTACTATGACTAAAATCTACTAGAATTACTGAGCAATGAGCACAGGTTAGCGGACCTGCCAGAGGGTTGTGGCGATGAGGACCAAGGCAGCACAGAGCGCAGCATTGCGGACAAGGTTTGACACTTGCAGCAACCTCACCTGATCATCATAAAGTTGCTTATTAAACATCACACTCAGTGTTGTACTTAAGATCACATTATGTGATGACTGCATTCTAACCAGTCTTGACTAGTATTTACAAATACTTTCTTTTAGAGGCCTAGAAGGCACAAAAATAGAGGCAAAACCTGTGTCATTGATAGCAAACTTTTAATTATTTTTGCCTTTCTTTTGGAGGCAGTGACCATCAAAGCATCAAATGAATTCATTTCAATTTTGTACCTTACAAGATATTTTAATGGAACTTACAGTTGATAACTTCCTTTTATCCTTTCCTTCTACTGCAACTTTTAATGGGTCCAGTAAACGCTGAGCTTCAGTCCCAGACACCTGTTAAATGATATAAACCAAATTTACAGGGTATATTCTCTATATTGGAAACCAATTACTATGAAACCTACAGCTTCAATTTTCTAATCAATAATTGTAGTATATTTGAGTATAATTGATAGAAAACATTCTTAGCCTTCTTTTTTCAAAACAATTTCAATATAAACTGTTCAGACTGTTCAGTTATGGTTCCTTACTGTAAGCAATAGTAAAAATAGTAAAAAAAATACTACAAATTATTTCAATACCTATGAATAATTTGTATGAAAAAATTGCATTGATTTTAGATTCATACTGGCCAATGGCCATGCCCATTCTATTAGAAAATTTTGGAACATATTAGCCTATTAGGTATGTACTCCATATAAATCTATATAAGGTAATATTTTTAATCAGAAATGCTTAATAACCTAACCATGGACATAGTGGCAAAGCAGAGAGTTTTCTAGACAGACACACAGAGTCTCTCTCAAGAGGATTTTTGAGTCCTATAATATTTTATATTAAGAAGACCACCAAAGTAGTATCATGGATAACTTGCCACACATACCAGCATTACCATACATAAATAATATGTATACGTTTAAAAATTACTTTTTAAAGACAACACTTCTAAAGAATCCAGTGTCTCTAATGTTGCAGATGTACAATGAATTTCTCATTTTACTTTCGAATATTAAAAAATTAATTTTCAATTTTTTCAATAAATAAAATTTTTTTCTAAATTATTCATTCTGTAAATCGATTCATGCATTGCCTCCAACTTCACACAAGTGTGCAAAATTTCAGATCAATGTGACAGGTAAAAGTTTGTCAAATGTCAGTTATAAGATTTGTACCTAGCTGACAAAATTGCTTTTCAATTTTTTTAACATTGAAAAAAGTTTGTATAAATCATTTATTTTGTCATTTGATTCATGCATTGTCTCCAACTTTACGCAAGTGTGCAAAATTTCAAATCAATAGGATAAGTAGAAGTGTTTTAAATTTTGATTATAAGATTTATAGCAGACAGACAGACAAACAACAAGTGAAGTTAAAGGGAAGTGCTGGAAAAATTGATTTAAATCATGATTAAATAAAGAAATTAAAAATGAACTGATTTTAAAAAATCTGTGGTTTGACAATATGATAGAACATATCATGAGCACTAACCTGATGCTTCTCCAGATACTTGTAGAGCTCTATCAGTTCTTCATTAATATTATGAAGTAGAGAAGCTTCAGAGCTAGAACAGCTCTTTGTATCTACAGGTGTAATAGGAGATCCCAGTCCCATGGCCCACAATAAAAAAAGTCCTCGATCTAGGTAGTAGGTACAACTATGGTAGGTTTTCTTTCGAGAGAATTATCAGCCTGAAAGTTGAAAGTGAAACAGCATAAAAATTAGTGATGCAACAAAATATGAATAAAAATACCAAATAATAAATTGAAGGTTTCATATGCTGATAGATTGATAGCCTGATAAGCACTGGCCCCCCTAGACAGGGTCGGCGTTGCCATGATACGGACTTTAAGCCTTAAACGTTGCCAGCACTATTTGGAATTCATTGCCAGCATTATTCAAGATGTGTTGCCAGGTAATTTTCAATAAGAAAATGCTACTAACAACTTTGATAGTACATCCCTTACTCTCCACATACTGCAGCACTCATTTGCATGGGAGCGCTGCCGTAGCGGCAGTAGCCCAAAAATTTGACTCTTAAATCAGCCCAAAAGCCAATGCCAACCCTCTACATGCAATAGAAATAGTCAGTCTAATACCTATGCAGCTGTTCTTACTTGCCTCATTTCGCCACACCAGCTTGAAACAAGCAATGCCTCATGCCACAAACTGATACTACAAACGGATTACGCCCAATAGCTCCTACACCAATGATTTAAGCCCATACCATCACTTCTTACAAATGCCGTAAGCCACAGGGTCCGCAGACCGCACCAGACTGCCGTAAATGGGAACGGCCCCGCACCGGACTGTCGCATCACCTTACCCACTTCGCAGGCGTAAGCCNTAGGGCACTAGCACTATGAAGTAGCACTACGCACTGCAAGCCATAGTGCGGCATGGAACACTACGGTTGGTATGCTAAATAGGGCCAAAAGCATAACGCGCACTACAAAAATCTGAAGTGTCCTACACACCGCACTTCACGACGACACTACGGTATATTCACCTTGTTTACTTCGTCAGCTATGGATCTGTTTAGCTTACAGCAAAGGCATCATCGCGTAAAACCTCAGGAGCAGCATGCCATGAATATAAAAAAGTATACCGCTTCAGTGAACAACATATTATTCTTATGGCTGACATTTTCCTTGGCGAAACAGATGAACAGCGTAGAAGTAGAAAATACTTTTCTTGTTTTTGATACCATGTTTTGATTTTTTTAGAGTCATTTTGAATTCTTCTGCAAGAACTTTCCATGCTTCTCTCTTTTGTTCGATGTCTTGGGAAGCGTGGACTTTGAATATATGATGGGAAAGGTGCTCAGACGCATTGCGAATTTCAGCTCACCATCACAATTTTCACTAGTACCATTACCATCATAATTAGACATTTTACATCAATCTTCTGCAAAGAATGAGAATTACTTCGGGAATAATTAAGTATTTGAGCACTTAACTACCATTCTTCATTAGACTGATAGTGATAGCGTAGTGCGGCACTATAAAGTACTCTAACAGCGAAGCAGCACTTCAAAGTCTTTCTGCATACGAATCAGTAGTGCGACACTAAACATTGTAGAGCTACTTCGAAGTGCTTAGTGTCTGTGACGTATTTAGCATACCAACAGGACACTTCGTAGTGCATAGTGCTACTTCGTAGTGCTAGTGCCCTATTTAGCATACGGGCCAAAGCCATGACATCATGCAGATGTATCTGTAGGCCTATATGTAAATATTTTTATATCAAACCAACAGCATAGAAAGAAATTAATGCTGAAAGGACCGCAACGGCTGGGACAAAAATATGAACTGCCAAATGGGGTAATAAGGCCCACGTTGAGCGTTTTTCGTTAATAACTTCTTATCATCAAACATTTCATAAACAAGTTTGGGCTCATTTTAAGCTCTTTGCGAGGGCTTTTAAATGGCATCTTCAAAAAAATTCCATATGCTGCTTGCCAAATGCAAAATAAAAGTGTCCCGTATTACAACTGAGAACGAGGTAATCCAGGACACTTGGAATAAAACTCAATTTTAAAACGTTTGAAGCATGCTAAGTGTACTCATCCATTACTAAGAGTACTCTGAAGTCCTCCTCTTACTTTGAAGATGATGTAAAAGTAGAATAAATGGAATTTTCTGCGTTTTTTACTTGTTTTTCCATTATTGATATATTACCATATCCATACAGTATCGTTCAGTAGCGGTAGCGGTAGCAGCGCTACATTTAAGCTATTGTAGCTGTAGCGCCCGCTACATATTCAAGTAGCGATATGAGGTTTTGCCGCTACAGCGCTACCGCTACATTTATAGATAAAGCCTCTAGATTTTACTTAATAGTATTAAATATTATTAAAAAACCAGCATGATACATACATAATATAAATTACAGAATAAAACTGTATGAAAGATTTCGGCGTAATGTTGTCAGCCTCAGCTTGTTATTAGTGTCAACATGTTGGTTGTTACCAGAGGTGGGCAGTAGCACGCTACATGTAGCGGCCGCTACATTTTCAGTAGCTGTAGCGGTGCTGCATTTAGAGCATGTAGCGGTAGCCGCCGCTACATCTCAAAGTAGTGCTGCCCAGCTCTGATTATTGTACTATTGATGTGATATTACCATATCCATGGACATGCCATTGTGCATTCACTGTGCATTCACCTTGTCCACTGCAATCTTCATATCAGCAGCCATGTATAATTTCTTCTGCATCTTCAACACTTTGACTGCAACTCGCAAAATAGCCTGCATTCCAGTGATGTGGCTTATTCAAACTTGAATAACTTTAGTTACAGAAAAGACAGCAAGATAAGGGCTAGTGCGCTGCTCCTGTCTAAGTGAGTTCTACAAGCTTCTGACATAAAAACTGTAAGCCTCTATTGGCGCACGTCGCCTGGAATGGAAACTTTCATCTTTCTAGGCAATGTGCGCCATATGAGATACAGGGTATTAATTACATAACTACATTAAAAATTTGCATCATGTGGGTACTAATGCTTAAAAAAACATTTTCTGAGCAAATGAAATTGGAATGTAACTGCAATACTCAACCTAAAAATCATTCTGGGGTAAAATGCTGCTAAATGGGAAGTTTATAATTCATTTAGATGATGTCTTCAAAACTGCTCTAAGCAGAGCATGAAGTGGTACTGACAACTGTTCAAGTTATTGGCAAAAACTGCTGTAGCAAATGCCATGTTAAGCCATGTTAAGCCATGTTAAGCCATGTTAAGCCATGTTAAGCCATATTAAGCCATGTTAAGCCATCTTAAGCCATGTTAAGCCATGTTAAGCCATGTTAAGCCATGTTAAGCCATGTTAAGCCATAATATAATCACTACGGAACTTATTTATAACAGTTATATCCAGGACAACCTAGGGGAACATGCTTTATTGGACGTATTTCTACTGGGAGCATTTTTTTCTAGCAACCAACGCAACCATGGAACTCTCAATAAAGCATGTTCACCTAGGTTGCCCTGGATATAGGAAAGGTTAGGTTAGGAAAGGTTAGGATAGGTTAAGTTAGGTTAGTTCTTGTTGGGTTATGTAAGGTTAGGCAAGGTAAGGTTAGGTGAAGTAGGGTTAGGTGAGGTAGGATTAGGTTAGGATAGGTTAGGTTAGGATATGTTAGGCTGTGTTCAGTTCGGTTAGGTTAGGTTACGTTAGGGTTTTTTGGCTAGGTAAAACTAATGTAAGATTGTTTTAAACACTAATAATGCACACAGGAAAAGGCCACAATTTGGGGATTGCTGTGTGTCGTAGGAAATGTGTGGCAAGAAGAAGAGAGAAAAAAAAAAGTAAAAAAAAAGTTTAGCGGCTGATCTGGTTGGGATTCAGGGAGACCAGGCGCTTGAGAACCTCCTCTTCATGTATCTCGAAACTAGTTAACTTCGAGTCCACTGGTCGCTCCTCAATAGCTGGAATACTGTTCAAGTCCTCATCTGTGAAGACGCTGCTAGAGAACTGATTTAGAATATTGGCCTTGCCCTCGTCAGAAGATATCTTCCGTTGATTTACATTCAAATCAACAATACCGTCCCTTGTCTTACACTTCGAACTAGCATACAAGAAGAAGGCTTTCGGGTTCTTTTTCGAGTTTTTGGCAACGTCTTTTTCAAAATTTTTGACTGCGGTGTGACAAGCTTTTTTAGCTTCATTTCGAGCTCTTGCATACAGGTTATACTCAGCATCGCTACGAGTTCGTAAATAACGCTTGTAGGCTTCCTTCTTTGCTTTTAGCTTTGCTTTAACCGTATTGTTCACCCACTGTGTTTTTCTGACTCCACCGAGCTTTATCTTAGGTACACACGCATCAACTGCAGACATAACTACGTTCTTGATGAATGACCAAGACTCCGCCACATTCATGTACATGATACAGTCCGAAATGTTCGCTGCACTCACTGATTCACGAAGTTTAACATAGTCGCCTTTCGCAAAGTTGGAACGTTCACGCTTCCGAGGCGTCTTTTCTGTATAGCACTTAATACTGAAACAATGACTGGTGGTGACTTTTACCCAACGGAGCCTCGTGGCAAAGCTCTTCTACCATTGATTCTTCACTAGTAAACACTAGGTCTAGAGTATTTGGAGTCTTATTACCTCTAAAATGGGTTGGCTTTGTGATGTTCTGGTATAAAAATGAGTCTCTCACAGACTCCATGAACAAGGATGAAGGGTGATTCTCATCCCTTGGAGAGGATTCATTGTCCATCAGTTCCTGACGGTACTTACCACATCGAAAGTAATTTTTTAAAAGGAATTTTAATAGCGTCTTGCTTAGTAAATATTAAAGACGGTAAATGCTCAATAATGTTGCTTAATGCCTGTGCTGAAGAATTAACATTGAATAAAAATCACATTTTGTCGAGTCTTGAGAGAATCGATAGTGAAACGCTGCACGTACGCTCATTGACGCGTGCCTAAAAACCTAGAAAAATTCACAAAATTATCCACTGGCAGCATCCGATGTTAATACGCCGGAAACAGGCGATACTTTGCTCACGTTACTATCAGTCCTTCAACGCAATCGCGACGCAGTTGCTCTGAAAGGAGAGCCTTTAGGACTCACTCATTTACTTACGCATGACATCAAATTGAAGGACACAAATAAGAATGATGTTCTTGAAAACGCAATCGAGTGGGGGTGGAAAGAAACGCACGACAATGAATCAAAGTTAATTATATTTATCGTGATGGTTACGAGCTGCGCCGCCTCAATCGCACATCGAAGCAGCGGCAAACTTCCCGAGGACGTCGAGAGTGTTGGTGCGCCGCCGCTGCATCGCACGCGGTTAACAAGAGGTGAATGCCTGCAATTAATGAATATATATTTTAGAATATTGGGATTGATCTTAGTTAACTGAAGAATAATGCCAGGAACATAGTTCTGGAAGCTATATATATAAATTAATCATTTATGAGATATAACACAGGATATTCATTTTTATAGTTCACGAGTGGGACAAGCATTAGTGATCACAATGTGTGGGTTGACTAAATGAACTGAAAGTAGAGGGCCGACCGGCATGTCACTCCAAATCCGTGCACTGCGACCCACCTCTACCGCAGTAGGCTTGCATCGAGTTCCACAGACGACGCAGACTGCAGCATTCAACGTAGTCGGCCTCCTGCGCGCCGTCGGGTGCCAGCGGCTCTATGGAGTGCCACCTCGCTGACGGAGTTGACCGAAGAAGGACTAGCTGCTCTCCATCCTTACGCGAAGATCCAAATACACAGATACGGAGCGATCCGTACACGCGTTGAAGTAGTGTGTAGAGGAGGTCGTCATGCGGTGATAGTTGGTGATGAACTGGGACGGCTGGGCCGGCTGGCAGAGCTGAAATCTCGAGGTTGCGGGTTAACCTCTATATGGCGAATGCAAGTGGGCACAGGTAAGCACGGCAATGGAGACAATACCGCCGGAAATTAATTCAAGTTTAGACATGGGGAACATTGTGATCACTCATGGCTTCAAATAAAATGAAATGAATAATAACAATTTTCAACAGATGTTGTTTATGTAAAACAATACCGAATGGCGCACTCCCATCAAAATATGCTTGATGATGCGGTTGACGAATGCTGAAAGATGGCATCATTGAACCAACAACATCCGCATGGAATTCGCCCATCCTTTTAGTGAAAAAGAAGGATAACTCATGGAGGCCGGTTATCGATTTCCGGAAATTAAATGAAATAACTTAACCCGCACGATTCCCTCTTCCGCAAATTTCAGAACTTATTGATACACTACGAGGTAGTTCTTACTTTTCAAATATTGACCTCGTTTCAGCTTTTTGGCAGGTCCCTTTGACTGAAGAAGCTTCACTAAAAACAGCAATCTCGACCCGAAAAGGTCATTTTAAATTCACACGATTATCCATTGGCCTGGTCGACGCGCCGTGCGTATTTCAAATGCTAATGTCAGCAGTGCTAACAGAATTACTTGGAATTTCAGCACTTGTGTACCTTGATGACATAATAATTTTCTCCAAAACAAAACATGAGCATATCACTCACATCGAGCAAGCGCTCAAAAAGGTTCGCGAAGCCGGACTGAAGATCAAGCTTTCAAAAGGCGAGTTCTTTAAAAAGGAACTCAAATTCTTAGGTCATACTGTCTCGGACGACGGCGTAAAAATTGACGACGGGAGATCGGAATGCATTCGCAATTATCCTGTCCCGAAAGATGCTACAGAAGTCAAAAGGTTTTTGGGTTTTACATCTTATTATAGAAGATTCATTAATAACTTTGCGAAGATATCTGCCCTATCGACCGACTTGCTTAAAAATGATTCTGCATTCTCGTGGTGCGGAACTCATCAGGAGGCTTTTGATTCACTAAAGGAAAAACTATTAGCACAACCCATTCTACAATACCCAGATTAATCTAAGCCATTTTTTATCGTGACCGATGCGTCCGATCAGGCTGTGGGCGCGGCGCTAGTGCAACAGCATGGAACAATTTTCTTGCCAAATTGCTTTGCATCAAAAAACGCTGATTGAAACTGAACGCCGCTATATCACAACTAAGAAAGAAGCTCTTGCCGTCGTTTTTGCCTTAAAGAAATTCAGGTACATTGCATTAGGCTATAAAGTCACAATCTTAACAGACCATAAACCTTTGGTTTCGTTATTTTCTAGAACAAATGCCGGAAGATGCGGTGCTAGGAAGATGAAATTTGCAAAGTCAAGAATACAATGCGGTTGTGAAATATATTCCAGGTAAACTAAATGTAGTTGCCGACGCATTGTCACGTATTAACTCTGAGGTGTGCGTGGATGACGACATGATGCGAGAAATTGAATAAATTTTTGAAGAGCGTGTTTACACGACACGCCAAGCTTCAATAACAAACTCAGACAACTCGACGCTTTCCCTCTATGCGATGCTTAAGTTGAAGGATAACTCGGAGCTCGCTGTGGCACAGTCACACTGTGACTCATGGCGCAGCATACGCTCGTGGCGCACGAACAATCAACACACGCTTAAACGCGATGGCGCACTTAAAGCGAAATTGGTAAAACAAATTTCTTTCTGGAGGGCGATGTACTCTATTATAAACGCCAAGTTACTAGAGCAGGACTAGCGGACGTTCACATCAATGTCTGTGTGCCAGACAAATACTCGACCGATACAATTAAAATGTGTCATGAACCTGCAAACATGGGTCATTTTGGCCATGAAAGAACATTAAAAAGATTTCAACTTAACTTTTATCACCCTAAGGAAAACCAGGCGACTCTTAATCTCGTGCACGCTTGTGACAGTTGTCTAAAAGAGACAGGACGAATGTCACGGAAAACTACGATTGGAAATTTTCAACTACCAAATAAACCGTGGGAAATCGCATTAATGGACTTATTAGGTCCTCTACCCGAAACTTCTGCAGGAAACAAATATATTCTTGTAGTAAGCGATTACCTGACTAGGTTTTCAGTAATGGTAGCTATAAGCGACAAGCGATCTGAAACCATAGTAACCGCACTTCGCACGCACGTGTTCGCCCCATTTACTTGCCCGAGCAAACTAATATCAGATAATGCCAAGGAATTTACCAGCGATCTGATGAAAGGCTTGTACGATAACTATCGTATCGAAAAGGTGGAAATTGCGCCCTATCATCCGTCCAGTTCCGGACTGGTTGAGATAAAAAATCAGAACATAATTCGAGTACTTAAACATTTCGTTGAGGCTGAAGGTTCATGCGAATGGGACCTGTTCTTGCCTGAAGCAATGAGAGCGGTTAACACAGCATTTAACGTAACGATAGGTGACACGCCTCATTACGCGCTATTTGCTACAGATAAAAATCACCCTGCAGCTGTTGACGCACGCGAGCAAGAAGCTCCTATCTATAACTACGAAGACTACTACCGTGTAGCCACGCATATATTCGCAAAAATCCGTGAATATCTCAAACAGGTGCTAAACGAAAGCATGGATGAGTATTTAAATAAAAAAAAAAAACAAGAAAACTAAACTTCGCACGATTTCTAAAGGTCGTCATGTTCCTAAAGAAAATGAATACAAAAAATTTTACGCAAATTTCGATGGACCATACTTGGTTAGGGAAAAAATTAGTAATAGCGTGTACAATGTTGAACACACCGTGACGGGAAAGATTCGTCGCTGTCACATCGACAATATACTTGCTGGTTAACTATGACTTTTCTACTCAAACGACACTTTTATTACAAAAGAACCCTCAGGATAATTTCTGAACCGCAGCCTGCAGCTGGCGAGCCATAGAGCTGGGTCATAAAAGTCTGTAGGCGAACGAAACTGATTGAAGTCGTGCCTTCGTGGTCTAAATAGAAATACAATAAAATTGGACACTGCGTGGGGAAGTTCGATTTAATTTTGTTATAAAGATGAAAGTCAGCGGTGATAAATATATGCGTTGAATGGTTTTTAATTAATTTAAAAATAATGGACAAAATATTTATTCTTCTTGGATTACCTAAAGAAAAAGGGGAATCCGCATATGCAAATGTCTCGAAATTTTAAGGTTACTACTGGATTACGGAAACTTTCAGTTATCAAATTAAGTTAGACATTTTTTTTCCTTCAATGCTGACTAGTGACAAATTCGAATTTTTTTTTGCTGGAGCGCATACGCAGGAAAAATAAAGATAAAGAAAATAATCGTGAATGGAGCATGCAGAAAACCGTACAGAATACGATGTATCGAGTAGTGATGTATCTAGCTATGATGTATCCAATTGCTATATATCAATCGACAATTCCCATATTGGAAGTCTGTGGTAAGAGGGAGTATGAGCCAGCCACAAACAATTTGTAATGGTCGAGGCTTCATTAGGGCTTGGACCTCATGCGATGGTTAATTATATATGGTTTTGTTTTGGTGAAACAATTGATATTTTTTTAATAAAGTAGATGAGAACCCTCGGAGTCAGACGGTTACCTCGGTCACGGTTAACCGAGAATATTAGATCGAGCTGTGGGCTGAATGACTGGTAATATCCAAGCTCTATGGTGGTGGTTTATGACCATGAAGCTCACGTCGAAAAAAGTAAAGAGATTTAGAAAGAACCCGACCGCTAACCGCTTATGTCGTATTAAGATTTCTTTCTGGGGAAATAGGAATACTGTAAGCAATTGGTTTATTTTTTATGAACGTTAGGATCCCTGTTTAATGACACTAAAATGTAACTTATAAAATATTGTGCAACTCTGTTAGTCAGTGGATGTGTATTAAATTATGTTTTCACAGGAGTCTTGGCCTGCCGACCGCGATACTTTACATGACGCTGGTAGAAACCCTGTAAAGTGGCATTAGCTGCACGACTTTGTTCGACCCGCTCTATCTGCTGGTCTCGTCGACACGCAGCTACTGCTACTCAAGACAGTACATAAGACCGTAAGTGGATCGCATTCCTTAAGACTAATGAATCTGAAGTTGTATTGTTTTGTCTTAGACTTAATCAAGGATGCAGAAGAAATGGTAAGTCGTGTTCGAGAACTGTCCTCGAGCTTGGCTTTGCCGAAAAGGTTTTTGTAAACCACTTAATTTTAAAAGTAAATTTTTATTCTAAGGGAAATTGTCATCGCAAACTCGTCGTTTTTTCCGTCACCCATGGTAACTATTGTCACCCATACTGACGTGTTGGAACGCGCTAGCGACCCTTCCTATGTAAAAGAGTGAGGCATGTTCTCGCTGCGATACTCCAACTTCTATGGGGGGATAGGGAAGTGAGTTCACTCCATTTTATGGCCTCCTTGTCATTCACGGTGAGAAAATAATCATCGCTGATTCGCATTAAGACATAATATGACATCGATAGGATATTACTAAACTTAAGTGCTAACAAACTCTAAAGCTCATAACAATGTTGTATAAGATATTTTTATATACCTGTGCATTGTTATTTTTTACTGTTAGTCTTATAACAAAATTGTAAGCGTACCTTAGGTACCTTGGCACTCTTTGTGAACCAATTCTTCACCTTACATGATCAAGACTAATTAATACAAGTTACTTTAACGTAAATGATCATATTAAAGGCTAACCTCTAAAAAGCCAAAAATTTAAAGTAACGTAATAAAGTTGCCCTGATCCACTTATGGTCAGATTAATATTCGGTTTAAATTTATTCAATTAATATACCAATATTAATGCCTTGCCTATGTTTTCCCGAGCGTGAACTTTCTGTTCTCGCGAAGATTAGCCGAAGACTCAAGAGGACGTGGCAACACCTGTGCCGAAGTCCAGGAGACCCAAGATGTTCTTCTCTTAGATATAAGTCGCACTTTAAGCTCTTGTGTTTGTCTAATCGATCAAACATCAATTATGCTAACAGGTAATCATATTTCACTCCTGAAATTATGTAGTCATGTAGTCATGAAGTGACTCATACTTTGAATTAATTATTTATCATTAGGCAGTCATTACTCATGGATTAATTCAATTCAGCACTTATT